AAAAAACACCTGGAGCCACAATAAACCGTCATGTGAATAGTTGACTACACATGCATCTGATGGACTTTATAAGTCTGTTGTGACTTCACTCAGCTAATGAATTAAGTTATACTCTTGTTTTTTCACTGTAAAAAAATAATTATTGATCACTTAAAGTGATTTTCCTTTTACCAATTCAAAGCCCCAGAATAAGTGCTACAACAGAACCCGGCTAACAACCAGCGTAAAATCCCCTCTCACGTCCAATTGTGTTTCAAACAGAGTGGACCAACTCCACAGGACTTCTTTGTAACTTGCAATGCACACTGTCATATTAAGTGGACATCAATTTGATGGCAGGATATTTGGGGAAAATGTTCATTCATTTCTTTGCCTATTGAGATTTTTCAGCAAAAGAAGAGCCCTGAATATAGATCCCAGTTTATATGGCAGGTGCAGAAGGATGTCTGGCATTCCCAAAAAACGTCCTTTTCCCCTCACTCATCAAAAGGTCTAGAGTTACCACGGGAGTGAGAGTGAGAGAGGTGGGTGGTGGGAATAAATCATGGCCTTCAAGCTGACAGTGTGAGGCTCGCTAGCAGCATGCTGTGTGTCTATATTTTGTTTTAACAACGGATTCAGAAGTCAACCCATGAGTATATATAGCATCTCATGAAAAGGAAATCCACTTGGACAGATTTGCCAAAGAACAACTTGCCTTCAGTTTCATTAGCTCTTACTCCAGATCAGCTAATGCTCTACACTCAGACTGTTTTGGCATTCCACATGATAACTAAGATCTGCAGGTAGGGAACAACATTTAGCGAGTGACGGTGAAAAGAAAATGCAGCTTAACGCAAAAGTAAGGGCAGAGGCCGTCCTCCAAGCAGGGACTTCCTCTCAGCACCATGCTAACAGGGGCTCCTCACAGAGCTCCCATTGTGTACACGGGCCCTGTGAATCCCCCCCATACATGAAAGCAACACATGCCAGAGTTTCACTTCAGGAAAAGGCGGACAAATATTTCAGTCTGATTGAGCCACACGCTTAGAAAAATAATGGATACTCTTGTCAGGGGATAAAAAAGGTATTTTGCCATTGGGGGCCTTTGCTCTCTTTTTCTCTCTGTGTCTGATGTCTGTGTATGTGTGTGTAATGTTTGAGATGGTTGTGCATGTGGGTGCGGGGTGGGTGCACTCCGAGTGACCAAAAGCAATCTGCTCTGGTCCAATCAGCCTCAGTGCCTAGCTTCGCACATAAGCAGCAGGGCACTCAGGTCTGCCAGTGCGCACAGACCTACACATACACACGCCTTCATACTTGTCACATCCACACACACACACACATTTTTGCACATTTAACACACATACATACACACACACACCCTCCCTCTTCAAGGCACCCTGCACGACCTCTCACCATTGGCCAAGTCCCGGAGCCCTCAGCATCTCCATCACGGCTGAAGGGACCATTCGGGAAGGCAGGAGACAGAGGTAAGCGTTCTTGGTGCTATCTTTCATGCTCTCTGGTGTGGGGGGGGGAAAAGGCAGACAGAGTGGCAAGACTTGCCCATCAAAAAACACTGCTATCCAGGGTTTTCACAGGGGCCACTTGGCTAATTAGTTAGTGGTGCAGCTGCTTTATTTTCCTTTCTTGGGTTTGGATTTGGGAGCTTCACAGGTGACTGAAAAGTGGATGTCTTTGTTGTCACTCAGCAAGGTTAGCAGTTGTGATATGTTGGCTGGTAGTTTTTTAAGCCAAAGTTTTTGTGATCCAGGAGTTTTCAACAGGTGTTTTATGGATAGGTGAGAAGGACTTTTGTGAGGATTTTAAATCTACAGCACTGTTGGATTTCACGCATGAGTAATCAAGAAAAAGTTTACTTTCCGATCATATTTGTAAAAAATAATAATTCTGCAATATAATATCCCTTCAATTTCAGAAAATATTGTAAGGCTCAAATTTGTTTGTTTTATTTTTCACAAACAGAATTATTTCCATATTTTAAATGTTTGGCGTATTAAACACTTGGTCAGCTGCCTCATTGAGAATTTGATTGAGAAGTTACAATGCTACAATGTTGACATTTTATCTAGCAGACGCTTTTTTGTGATGTACACCTGAGAGTTAAATGCAACACAAGCAAGGATCTAAAGTTCCTTAAAAACTGTTTGAGATAAAAGATACCAGTTAGCAAAGGCTCGTCTGTCAGGTTTGTTTAACGGCTTTGGAGGAGAAAAAAAAGGTAGAATCACTGGATATCAGGAATGCCCAACACGGGGCCAAGCATAACACAGAGGTAGTCTGGAGGCTACACTCATACACAGTTTCCACACACTGCACACTGTGATGGCCTGCATAAAAGCACACCTCTGTCTTTGGTATAGTTCCTTCTTTCAGTGTAACTGTGCAGGATTTCAGAACTGCATGAAAGAAAAATGTATTTCTATGTGGATGCTAACCAGTCAGCTTGCCTTTTTTGAATATCATGCACTCAATTCATGTTGGACATTTTCGAGGAAAATGTAGGTATTCATTTGCATAAATAATCCAGCCCTCTGATATCAACAAAGATTTGATTCATGACATGTTTTTTTTTTTGTTTTATATCTGTCCTCATCCCAAAAATAGCAGCAGAGGTTTCTCAACTTTCTCCCCCTGAAAGATAGGTGTGTTAAGACAGAGTGTGCATCTGTGAGAGGATGTGTCTCACAGATGCGCATGTGTGTGAATGTGTACCTGTGTATGTATGCATGTGTGTGTGTGTGTGTGTGTGTGTGTGTGTGTGTGTGTGTGTGTGTGTGTGTGTGTGTGTGTGTGTGTGTGTGTGTGTGTGTGTGTGTGTGTGTGTGTTTGAGCACCCTCACTGCTGAATGAAGCTTTTCCTTGCAGTCGTAACTCACTGCCATCCTGTCCACAAACCTCGGAGGAATTTGGAGTTTGAGTGCTGAGACAGGCAGCGACCGGGCCTCATAAAGGACCTCTGTGAAAGGTCGAGGGGTAGAGTTAGCTCAGAGACCTGTCTCTCCCTCCCTCTCTCTCTCTCTCTCTCTCTCTCTCTCTCTCTCTCTCTGTCCTGCACTCTCCCACTGAGTCTTTTCCTCACTCACTCCATCTAACCCTGAGGGCCAACATCTTGTCCACGTCTCTTGTCTCTCACTCTTTACTTCTCTTCTTCCCTTCCCTCGCTCTCCGTTTCTCTTCCCCCGCCTGGAGGACTTTCTTAAAATCACTTTTTTTAAATTCAACATCATCTATCTGAGGCCTGCTCACAAGTGAATACACCTGCTGTTAGTGTTTGAAATTCCTCTCCAACAGATGACTGTTGCCTAACCCTGCTGTCTCCTGTGCGTGCTAATTAAGCAGTTGTTAGCATATGCTTATCTTATCAGCACATCCAAGCAGGGATTGTCATACATGGACTTTATCAACCTTGCTAAGCTTTATGAGTTCCTCTGAGGAAATGGAAAAGATTTGCAGCGGCTATGTGGGTCATGGCAGTGAATACTCGATCTGTACTCATTGACTATGATACACGCTCATTTGGGATTCAGGTAGAAAAGGACCCTCTTGTCCTGCACCCTCATTTCTAGCTTAATGCCAAGAATTTTGCTCCATGTGAAAAGGGAAAAAATGATTGAAGCTCCAATTTTTTTATATGGGGGTAAACCCACTTCAACTTTTAAACCGTTACCCACAAATCCTACTGGCTGAAAATAGATGTCTTAGAGTTGCTAATCTCTGATGAAAATGTTCCCATGGCTCCTTATCAGATCAACTCTGACTTCTGACCTTTGACAGGTCAGAGCCGAGCACTGATTTGAGCCAAGATGGCTTCTCCCTGAAGCGCTGTACCTCTTGCTTTCATGAGGCCCATGAGCTGTCTGCACCTGAGTAATGAATGTACTGACCTGAAGTGGTGGAACCCAATGTCAAGATTTTTATTATAATTTGATTTTTTTTTTTGTAAACTAGACTGATTATGCAGCCTGTATCATAAAGGCACACTCTGTTGACCAATGTTTATGACATAGGTTTAGGCTATAGGCTATATGAAGCATATATCTTTAAAAAAAATGTCAACTTCAACATGTTCATTCCTATCCGGTGTCTTTGATCAAAAAGTGAACAAGAGAAAAGTCCACTTATAAAGTTGAAAGCCTCTTTAAAAGCCAAATATACAATAAATATCTAATTTAGGGTCATGTGAACCTTAATGGCTAAATTGCTAAGATGCTAAAGTAGCCAAATAGCTTCTTAAACTGCTACCAAGTATTGACATCCAAATGTGATTAAAACTGCTGTAGTTTAGAGTACAGGTCGCAGTTGTCTAGTTTAAGATGTAGGAGTTAAGTATAAGTCAATGATGATCAGTTTTTAGTTGACAGCAGGGGGAGTTTGCTTTGTATCAATATAGCACTATAGCTAACACTACAGAGATTTCATTTAGCTTCTATTTTAAGCTTTGACAACAAATAGAGGCATCTTAGCTGCAGTTGAATGTGTATGTTAACTGCTAACTATGATATGAATGTCAAATAGTTTTGTGACTAACCATTCGTTGATCCGTTGATGAGAAGCGTTTTCAGATGTGGGAGCTTCTGCTGCCTCCTCTGATTCTGAGACAGACAACTCAGACATAGCCTATACTGTTGAAGGCTGCACTTTGCTGATAGTTACATGTGATGTTGGTTTGTTTGGAGCCAGGCAAATGTCAAAAAATAAGTGATATGCTCTGGTTAAAAGGATCTAAGGTATGAACTTAGCTGGGGGAAGGGGGCACAGGGTGATTTCATTGATTGATTGATTGTTAAGACAGCTTATTCCACAAAGATATTTGTGGAAGCTTCACGAGACCCTCAACTCTGATATTAAGTATGCATTTAAACTATTTAAGCGGAATTTCCAGAGGTTTAAATTTGCATGTATTATCCTTAACTCTATCTGACATTGTGACTCTTTGAATGCAAATTCCCTGCTGACTTTTCATCTCTCTACTCGTGTCAAGGTGGACTATGAGGATGCTCGTGCGGCTCATCTTGGGACTCTTCGTCCTCAAAGCGGTGGTGGCCAGCCCCAGATTTTCCCGACAAGCGGACTTGGATTCATACGACAGTGCCAACTATGATGTGGATCTAGATAACTCAAATTTGGAGAACCAGGATATCTATGACTATGAAGAGGGGCTGACAATTGACGATCCTCAGGTAAGAAACTGTATCTGTCCATAAGTAAAGGCAGAAGAAAATCTTGTGCCAAAAAATTCAATTAACATGCAAATAAAACTTGGCATGAATTGTACAATGGTCATTTGAGGTTTATATAATGCATTCCTTTTATTAGTTGTTCATTTCTTAGAGATCTACAGTCACGGAGTTTGTATTTGGCAGTGCAAGTAAAGGAATATGTTCATTGCCTTTTGCTATGTGTGCTTCCTATTAGCAAGTCCAAAAACTCTGTTTGATCTCTTGATGGGCTAACAAATTTGCTCATAGCCATATTGGCCGGTTTTGAACCGAGGTCAACAAGTTCATGGAGCAGACAGGCTTCCCACTGATACCGACTGGAGCCATTTGGAAAGTAGACAAACAGTTTTCAACTTTATGTTCTATTGAAAGCCAAAATACGTTTTATACCTTTGCCAGCTGCCATCTCCGTTCCACACAGTTGAATTGACCGGACTGAATTTTTCTGCATCTGGAGTTGTTTTTCGGCATGTATTTGAGTAATATTTATGCGCAATGATAGGGAAATTTCTATTGGAAAGGTTGAGTAGGGAATAACTTGTATCATTTTCCAACAGTGTAATGTCCTGTTCTGTGAAAGCAAATTGAACACCTGTTCTAAAAAGAGTCACACTAAAGCAGTTTGTGTGCCTTCTGAGGCCTATTTCTTTTTAAATTCAACTCAGTTTCTTCAAAGAACAACAGATTTTAAAAGATGAACAGAGAAGTGTTTCCAACTGGTTGATGGGTTCCAGAAGTTTTCTTTAAATCTGCTCAAGTTGAGTGTGATGTGGCAAGTCTGCAGGGCACGCTGGGCTTGCAAGCTTTAGCCACATTTCATGTTCCTGTTTATAGCGCTTTGTTATGAGGAAATTAGGCCAAGCTATGTCAAGAAAGATGGCACGAGTCGAATATTCCACATCACATTTTCATCAGGCTCCTCCCGAGCCAGGGACTGAAGTTAAACCTGATGTGGACTGAACACACACCACTACTGTTATCTAACATGAATCTGAAACAAATGCAAATTGAACAGATCGGAGTAGAAACAGTGAATTTATTTTCTCATCCATGGTGGCAAAATGGTAAAACCGAAGCCTTTTGCCTAGGTTTGAACAATTGGATTCTGGTGTGCAAAGCGTTACAGGAGAGTGTAACACATGGCATTGCTCAGTGTGGGAAGATTGTAATGTGTTGCATGAGAATGGCTTTGATAATGTCTCTCTGTTAACAAGCCTGGATATGACGCAGCACATTGCATAAGAGTTTGTGGGAGCAGCAAGAGTCAAACAAGCACAATAAGACTAACTATAATCATTCTCACCCTTTTAAAACCCAAAGTTTCGACTCGTAAATGCATTTTGCGTTGAGAAATAACATTTTGTTCTGTTGACAGCACACTTAAAGGTGTCAGATCGACCGGTTGCTTAGGATTATATGGATTTTATTCACACACGCATCAGATGTCAGGGGAAAAGTTAAGCGGTGATGAGCTCCAGGCCTCTGGAATGCTGACTCTTTCCTTTCCAGATCCATCTGTTGGTAGTTCTCTTCTTTTCTTCCTTAGGGTGTTTTTAGCTAAGTAAAGGCTCATTTTCTGTGTTTTCCAAGCAAATCTGCCTCAGTCTGCTGCATTCAAGAACGCCAAATGCTTTAATCACTGATTTAGTTTGGTGTCCTCTTTGGTCGGCAAAACATTTAGTTGAATCACGTAACATTTTTCTGGTGATTACCGCTTTTGTACAAGTGATGGCAGAATAGCATGTATTTATTGATCCAGTTGTCAATACTTTGTGAGTGGTATGAAGCCCTAAGAGGGTTTCTGAAGATGTTTTTGATGCAGTTGTAGTTGATTGTATTACTTTATATAGCCTAGGAAGTAGTTATTTTGTCTGTTACCCACATTCCTATTTGTGTTCCACCTGAAACATCTAAAAAAAAAACAATGTAGCCCACAAGCTACATCAATTTATCCAATCATTATGATCATAATCTTGTCCATTTAATTCAGATAATTTCGTCTCTGTATTTGTCTTCCCAAGAGTCAGATAAGAAGTTTGATACCACTTTTATGTCTGGATATGTGGTTTAATATGAATCTATATCCAGGTGCCATTTAGCTTAGCTTAGCATAAAGACATTGCATGTAAGCCTGTGGACACATCTTGCTTTAACCCTATTTAATTGTCTGCTATAGGATTTATAGATCAGGCCAGATTGTTAGCTTGAGTTTTTATGTTGGGAAAGGGGTCTATTCCAATGACATAGTTTTTGATTAGAAAATTCACATCTATTACACACAGATTGTTAGCTTAGCACTGCAAATCAGAGCGCAGCCAGCCATGCATGTCGTGGGCTTTGTGTGCCTTGTCATCACACCAAGGTTGTCAGGCCACTCTGGTGCAGACTTTGGGAGCTAACCAAAACATATTTACCAAGCTGACTGGATCTCTAACTCATGACTTGGATTTGGTATCTTAAATGTGACTCAACTTTATGAATGTAACTCGATATTATTCATCTCGACAGTTTTTGTGGATAAATCACGAGATAGGTTATGTCCTAATGCGACCTAACTATTTTCGCTCTTGTAGCTAAAACTTTCCAAACCCTGATGAATGCATTTACTGATTTATTTGCTATACACTACAGCTGCACGTTATGTTGATGCTCACATTCAACGTGTCTCCCTGTGCATTCTGTATTCCCATGCTGTTTCCAGACCTTTTTTTTTTTTTTTTTTAGTATTTTTGGTTGCCAGCCTTTCGCCTCTTCTCTCCCTTGGGTGTATGTGTTTGTTTTGGGGTAAGGGGGAAATGAAGGGGAGAGCTGCAGCAAGCTAACTCTGTGCGAGACTTTTCAATGGCCTACCTTGTTGTAACTCAAACTGTGTCTCTGCCAAGCATTAAAATGTGACTTTCAGTGTTGGATACGTCTTCGTTGCTGCTTTTAACCTCTTTGCAAGGCTTTTATTCAGTTATATTTCTTGCTAGCCATCCCTTTAAGGCAGAATTTGGTTTGGCTTGATTGGTTGTCTTGATATACTTTCATATTTAAAACATCCTGGCTTAATATCCTTTGAAATGTGGTTTAAAGTAGCTGAAAGACTCAAATATGGATTCTTGCGGCTACCATGTGTGTCTTGGTTCCACAAGGACCATTCCCTTTCTGCAGGGTTGAGTCTTCCTTGTTGGCGTAAGAGTGTCAGGTATACCTGTGGCGGTGTGTGGGGGTTCATTGCCCTCGTCTGGAGAAAGATAGAACTGCAGGTTTGATGAAACACTAAAGCATCAGTAAGCAACAGGAATGAGTGTAAAGTAACTATAATACCTGATGGACATAGCTGAAGGTGTTCATAGAGGAAACAAAAAGCACTTTATCTTAAAGCTTGGCTGGTAGCACAGAGTTGTCTTTATATTTACTTCCCAACATAGATTAAGTTGCTGTCCTCATTGATAAGAGTGGTGCTAAGTATTGTTTATGTGGTAATTTGATATTTTAAAATGGTTTTAGTTGGTCAAGCTCCTTAGTTCATCAAAATGCACCCTGAACTTACTTCAATCAGGTTGAGCATTTGACACAATTTCCAATTATAATGCTGTTTGATAATGGGGAATAATTGAAAACCTTTCAATAAAGACTGCATGATTAAATATTTTAAAATGTGGTTGGATTGAAAACACACCTCCTGTCCTCTCAGGACAGTCACATGCAAGCACCCCTTGATTGTGTAATTCATAACAACAAAGAGAACACAGAGTTCTAATCTGAATCCATATGAAGAATGGAAAAGAGAGTATTTTTTTACTATCACACAAGATTGATATTGCCTACCTGCTACCTTGGAGAAAAAAAACATTTCAGAATAAGAATCAGAAAGTGCATGTACACTATGACAGAAATGTCCTCTGTGGCCTTTCATTGAGTTTGCATCCAAGTGTGGTCATTGCGGTCTGAACTCTAAAGCTATTTCACCTGAATACATTGCTGCCATCTGGTGGTGGAGCTGCTGTAGAAACTGATCAAGTGGGGGTTCTTGCATCAGTCCTTGACAAAGTAATATCCCAATATGAGTTTTTATGTGTGCATTTTGATAGCTGGCTGAATTTAACATAGCTTAATTCATTTAATATGACACTAAATATAGTATATTTAATGCCACAGACAATGGAGAAATATCTGTTTTTCTATACTAGTTCTCCACAAGACAAAAAACAAGTATTCATTCTTGTACAAGATCTTATCAACCATTCTGGTCAAATTAGATCAGCAGGAAAAATGTTACCGTATAGTCCTATGATGATCACCAATTGTATTTTTAAAGATGCATATAGATAGAATTAATGGAAAGTGTTAAACATGCATTTTTAACATATTTGCTAAGCATGGACTACATAGACATCAGGGTTTAAAAAGACACAGATGCCAGTGTAGTATGGATAGAGGTGTCATCCATGTTGACAGTTATCAAAGTGACTTTAATGCAGCGGCCCTGTCCTGAAGAAAAAAACATTCTGTGACTCTCTTCCTTACTTCTGGAGATTAGTCCGATTTCAAATTGACTCACTGCTGCTGTCTTTCCCTCAGATAGAGATTGGAACGCTGGCCCCACCTGACTATAACTACCCTGTTCCTGAGGCCTCGATTGAAGAACAAGAAGAAGAAGAGGCAGAGGAGGAAGAAATGCCCTTAAAACCCCAGCTGGTCCCTCAGGGCTCAGGGGGATCTGGGGTTCTTATGGGCCCAGACACACAGAAAGGTCTGAAAAAGCACTAACCTTTAGAATTTCTCAAACATTAAAAAAATGGTTTCTCAATATCAGAAATTAACGTGGTGGAGGGGGGGGCCCTGCTTGAGCTATAAAAGCAGAACCAAGGATCGAAAACAAAGATGCACCAATCTATTCCTCACAGTCTTGTCTGCGACAATCATCTTTTCATGTGCATGTCTTCCATTTAACTAGCTGCTAATGGTTAAATGTGTTATTTTTAATCATTTGGTGTCCATTTCTTTCCAACTGTTTAACCTAATCATCATTATAATCTCCAAACCTGATCAATGATCCATTTCTGTGTCATCTGTGTGTGTTTAATAATACCTAATCTTGTCTCTAACAAGAGGTGGAGCTGCGTCTGCCGCCCATTGACATCCTTCATGTCTCCGGGGACTTTGGAGGCTCTGTAGGGTCTGGAACCTCAGGAGCTTCTGGGGTTTCTGGGTCTGGGGGCTCAGGGGACCTCCTGGTCTCCGGCGCCTCTGGGGGTTCTGGTGATATTGTGCTGATATCTGGAGCCTCAGAGGAACTCCTCAGCTCAGGGGGATCTGGGGAATTCTTGGTAGGTGGGGATCTCCTGATATCTGGGGATCTCTCGGGATCAGGGGCGACTTCCGGAGCCTCTGGTTCTGGAGGGGTTCCAATTGAACTCCCCCTGGGCTCTGGAGGTTCTGGGGACCAGTCTGGTTCTGGGTTTTCCGGAGATCTCTTGATCTCAGGGGCTTCCGGAAGCTCTGGGGTTTCTGGGTCTGGTGAGTCTGGGGACTCAGGGATAACATTTATTTCTGGAGGTTAGTACTTTCAAAGGAAAGATAGCAAGGCAAAAATAACCTGTCTAATCTATGTGGTTCATGTTAATCTATTGTCTTAAATTCCATTTAACTGTGTTAAATGTTGATTCTTTTGCTTGTCACCTTACTTTTTTGTTCAACGTTGTGCTCTTGTATTTGTGTTACTGATTATCATAACCCTAACCTGATGTCTCACCTAAAATGTGAGTGTGATTGATTGATTGATTGATTGATGGGTTGATTGATTGTCTATCTCACCCCTCACTGCCCCCTGATTTCATGCCTCCTAACCCCAACCATTGGCTCTAACAAGAGGAGGAGCTGCCCCTCATTCCTGATACTATCCCCAGCGAGGCATCGGGTGCTTCCGGGGACTTCTCAGGAGCTTCAGGAACCTCAGGGGCCTCTGGGGATTTCTCTGGAGACTCAGGTGTCTCTGGAGTTTCAGGTGTCTCTGGCTCTGGAGACGCAGAGGTCCCTGAGGTAACCCTGATACCTGACATTGATAAAGGTCAGTATCTGATCTAGACTAGTGTGAGATATGTCATTAGCAGGGCTAAAACAACTCAAGTCCATACCTTACAAGCCAAGAAGTATACCAAAAAGGGAAGACTTTGAACAAGGTGCCAATGCTGATTCAGGGCACGAACCCATTACATTTGGTTATCAGCCAGACCGTATTTGTCAGCTTTGGATTTCTTGTCTTCAACTCGATACTTTTTTGGTTGGAGCAGCCGTAAAGATACCCCGCAAAGTTGCAAATTTCTAGTAGGGTTTCTGTTCAGGTCTATCATGCACAATTATGTCATTGAATAAATGCAATATATATTCCAGATGCTTGTTTTACAGTGGAATGGATGGCTAGTTTAATGAGGGTGAACATAGTTGTAACTCAATCATCTTTGTTAGTTTCTTGTTCTAAGATATAATACTCAGAACATTGCAATATTTTTTTGCATTAACTGGCTCCAGAATTGGCACCTAGATTTTAGAAAATGGATTTCACCATTACTCGAGCAATGATTTCAGCTATTCACTGGATTGACTATTTTCTCATTGAAGTCCAGTGTTGTTATCTAGTGTTGTAGCCCACAGTGGAGGCAACTGATTCTCCAAGGCAAAACTCATTTGAGCCTGCTTCCTTAAAACGAGTTCGGTGTGCTTATCTAACAAGCAAATTTTCATAACCACTCAGCAGATCACATTTTCATGTTAACACCAAAACCAACAGTTGGTTAACAATGCTAATGAGCTTTATGTTACTTACAACAGAGGCAAACAGTCGACTTCTGATTGCCAAATGTCCTTTTCTATGTCCATGCTATTCTAACCTGTTTCTTTAACACCTAATCTTGTCTCTAACAAGAGGAGGGGCTGCTTCCGACCACACCAGAAACCCCTCAGGAGGGTACTGGTGGTGTAGAAGGGTCAGGGAGCTCTGGAATGCCAGTGCCAGGTGAGCCTGACGAGCCAGATGAGCCTGTGGTTGACAGGACAGGTCAGTATTGAACAACAGAGGAATTTGACTCAAAGACGCATGATGACAAACAGCTCGTCTGATATTCCCTAATAAGTTTAGAACTTTTACTTTATTTTATTATTCCGCCAATGGAAATGTGTGATAAGGCTCCTGCACTAGGTATTTAATTCCAACATCCAATTCGTATTGCTTATGGTTCACCATAAAACATGGATGTTTGGTACAACATGCTTAACCATATTTTCTTTTTTTATTATCCCACAGTTAGTGTTTACTTGATTAAGTAATGACTCAATAGAGAAACCTTCCCCAAATCTATTATAGGATTGTGATTGGCTAGATTAAGGCCAGGTCAGCTGGAAACATGCCTGTGTGGAATTGGTTTGAAAAATGGGACTATACCTGCCCCATATTACATCAACGATCAGGGTTGGCCTGACCAAATCAAGGTCAGCTGGAAATCTGTCTGAACAGGAGGGGTACCAGATGTATCTACGAGGGCACACTTTTTTTTTTTTTTTTAAGATTTATTTTGGGGCTTTTTGTGCCTTTACTGGAGAGACAGGACAGTGGATAGAGCCAGAAATCGGGGCGAGCAACTACTGCAACTGTACATGGGACGTGCAATCGAACCACTCGGCTACCAGCACCCACACAAGGGCAAACTAATCCTGAGTTTGCTGATTCATCTGCTTCCAAGGATTATAAAAAGCAGTGTCTGTTGGAAAACTTTTCCATGAATAGTGACCTTTTGAGTATTTTGAGAGTTAGAGGCTGATTGTCCTAATAGCCAACTTTACAAGAACCTCTTATTCATATCTTATTCTCCTCTTTTCTTGATCATCCTCGCTATCTATTACTCCAGATATGCCCACTTGCTTGCTGTGCACATGCCTTGGCGGTTCGGTCTACTGTGATGACTTGAAGCTGGATAGTGTACCACCTCTTCCCAAAGACACCACTCACTTCTATGCTCGCTACAACAGAATCACCAAGATCAACAAGTCAGACTTTGCCAACATGAGTACGTATTCTGTTTGAACAAAAAATCATGAATATTGAATCAGGAGTTGACGTAGCTATCAGTGTTTCAGAGTGGAGACTTTCACTTTCTTCCAGACAAGCTGAAGAGGATCGACTTAACCGCCAATGAGATCAAGTCCATCGATGACAGAGCTTTCATGGGTATGCCTCAGCTGGAGGAGCTGGTGATTCGAGAAAATCATATCTCACAGCTGCCTGCCCTCCCAGAGACCATGAGCCTGATCGATGCCAGCCATAACAACATTGGTACCAAGGGTATTCACAGAGAGGCCTTCAAGGTACATACACCTCATAGTGTGTCCAAAATCACTTACTCATTCACTACACCCTATGAAGTGAGTTTGAGGATTATAAAATGAGCTCATGGACACAATAAAAAAATGGGTTAGGCCTGAACGTTTTGTTTGCTTCCAAGATAACACATTGTGTTTGAACTGTCAATTTATCTTAAGTCATGCATTGCTTATCTTGGTCACAATATTGAAAAACTGATCTACAGGTATATAAAAACATATTCATATCAAAAATGTTTCTGATTATGTTCATCAAAAAAAGTAACATCTGCCGATCTGTCTCATACGTCTTCTTTAAATGAAGATTTTGTATTGTTGGAATAATGACATCCAATGGCCATCCACTACTAACGTCTGTCTTCTCATTTTATTCAGGATATGACTAGCCTGCTGTACCTGTACCTAACAGACAACAACGTTGACTACATCCCAGTGCCTCTACCAGACAGCCTGCGATCTCTACACCTACAGGTATTTCTGCTTTTCTTTGACTTTGAAAGTCATAGTTACTTTCTACAATTCTATTCTACAATTCATTTAGCAGACACTTTTATCCTTCATTGTCAGATAATGACATAAGGTTTATATAATGACATTAAGGTAAGGAAGTAAGGAATTATTCATGATTTCAGGTCCTGTGTCCTGACACAGGTGTTTTCACTTCTTTGGTCTGATTGAAGTGGTTGGCGCTTTGCGAAAATGACTTGATATCACTACACGTATGAACCAATAAGAATGATAAAGAGAAGTGTAACTGTTCCCACTCAGGTTGATGAGATTAAATAAAAGATGTCAGAGAGCTGTCAGTCAAACTCAAACACAGCCACATGGTCCTGGCAGGTAGACTGATTAAAAAGTAATTGCAGATACAGTACCTGTGGACTCTCTCTGAATATTTCTCTGAAAAGGCTGACATCAAACTAAAACATATTTTACCATGAGGTTTAAATATCTGGTACCTAATGAAACAACTGACTGTGCCGCCTACGAACCTCTCCCTTCACACTTCAGTCCAGTTTCTAAGAATCTAAATCATAAAAATGATAATAAAATAGTTTGATTCAAGCCAGTCTCATGGAAATGGATATGATATCTCATGGTGGTGAGCTCTCATTTTGTACCCTCCTCTCTCCTCCGCTGCAGCGAAACAATATTCAAATGATGCACGAGGACACGTTCTGCAACCTGAAAGACTTCAACTACATCAGAAACGCACTGGAGGACATCCGTCTGGACGGCAACCCCATCAACCTCAGCAGGACCCCGCAGGCTTACGTCTGTCTGCCACGCATACCCATCGGGGATCTAATCTAACCACACAAATACCTTCCCCTCTTGCACACATTTTTGTACATATGCACACACACACAACCAACACACGCAGACCATCCGTCACTCCTCAATAAAAATTAAGTGTTTTTTTCAAAACTGATGCTGCTGACGGAGAGAGATCAGTAAAACCGTTTGGATTCCATGTTGCTTAAACATCAACAAACAAATGATTTGTCAGTTTCTGGTGATCAAGCTCACACACACTGCCCAAATGCATCGTCTTCCTGTAACTCCTGTCATTTTCAGCCAGGTATAAAATGAAACTGTCTATCTTGTTCCCTCACTTGTCAAAATCCATGCACACACACACACACACACCTACACACACCTACACACACCTACACACAAGGACTTTTCTAAAACACCAAACTTTTCCGCAACTCGATAAAGAGGAGTCGACTCGAAGCATTGGGGAGAATTCATCAGTTTATTAAAAAAACCCTCACATGTATGTTTCTTTTTGAGTGTCTGTTCATGACTGGTACAAAAAAAAAAAAAAAAATCAAGAACCAGTAATATTTGTTTAAATATTTTTGTTTTGTAAAAAATAATATTAATATTAATAACAAATCTAACATTTTTGAAACTGTATACTAGCAAACTTATTGAAGCTGGAGCTTAATGAGAGGCAGATTGAGTATCTAATGCAATAAAAGACGCATTTAAACACATTCACTTGTTGTAAAGTCTGTACTGTAATATAAAAATATACATTCCAGAAAAGATTTTTTTTTTTTTTTTTTTACATTAACTGTTATATTTGGCCGAGAAGATTTCAAAAAGTAATTTTTTTGAAAGGTGTGCAAAAGCCCAAACCAAAGACTCTAATGTTTAGAAGCAATCAGATGAGACTATTGTTTGCTTTGGGAGGGGGGGTGGGGGGTTGTTGATTTTGTCAATGGGGTAAAGATTAATGCTATTAGCTTGCTATTGTGTGCTCTGTATGGAATAACCACAAGTGAATAAAGTTGTTTTGAAGACCTCTCTGAACAAGGAGTGGCTCAACGTTTTCATTGACAACCTAGAGGTCGAGGGGGGAAACTGATTCTTCTCAGAGACTTCCTGTGCGGGGAAAAGCAAAAGAACATTTGCAGAAATAAAAAAAACAAATCAAAAATTTTCAATGAGTTTTTCAAACGAGTTGAGGAACCTCTCCTTCCTGTCGATGTTGTCTGAGTCGTTCGTTTTGCTGCCGTCCTCTGTGACGTCCCCAGTCCGCTCTCTGGGTACAAAAAGTCTCTCCAGTCTGGCTTTCTCTCGCCCAAGAGCCAGCCGGTCCCTGCTCACCGCGGCTCTGTCCCTCTCCAACGACGCCTTCTCCCTTTCCAACAGCGCCTTTTCTCTCTCAATTGTCGCCCTCTCTCTCTCCAGCGAGGCTCTTTCTCGGTCCACAGCTGCAATCTCCCGATCCATCACGGCCCTCTCCCTCTGCAGCACCATCCGTTCCCTCTCCATCACCTCTTTCTCCCTTTCCATCAGCAGCCTCTCGCTGTCCATCATGTCCCTCTCATTGTCCACCTCTTGGATGATGCGATCCATTTCCTGGCTTCCCTCGTGCGCCATGTCCTCCTCCCCGTCCTCGTCTCCATTCAGGGAAACCTCAATCTCGGGCCCGCCCACCAAAGAAGCCGTAGAGGAGTTCAAAAGCATTGAAATCTTCCTCTTTCTGGGGTTAGGGTTTGCTGTCAAAAAATCCCTGTTGTTTTTGTCAACGGGGAAGGCCTTGAGGATGGGGGCGTTGCCTTCCAATCGACCCTCCATGGCGTCGTCCATCAGTTTGTAATGAGGCCAACTTTCAGGGAACAATCTGACCCCATCCGGAGGGTTCTTTAGGAGCTGCAGAACCAGAGAAAGAGCAACAACTCAATAAGGAGATCTTTAAGAGTGTTTGATTCATGTCAGGGAAATATTTAAGAAAAATTGTACCTTGTATTTCTTTTTCAGGTTTTCCCATTTTTTGGATGCCTGGCTGTGGGTCATCTTGTGCTGCAAGTTCATGTGTTTTAGGATGGCCCTGAAAATATAAACATTTTAAACGCACAGGTTTGATCAATCAAACACCTTTACATTTATTGTCACATATTTTGATATTCTGCTGTTGTCAAAATAATAAACAAACTGGTTAATGTCAGCGTCATCCAGGTCAATAATTAAACAAACAATTAAATAAGCAGTTTGTATCTATTGGGCTTTAGTTGGTTTTTCAAACTTTGATGAATAATTGATGCTTTGATTGATTAAGGCAACGACTGACAGATTAAGCATTTAAAAAAAGTGTGATCATTATGATCCATGAGATTTTTGAGTAGGTCAATTTGTTAAAATTAGAAAAAACAGATAATGTCATAGGGAAACCTCCATCTAGGCCAGGGGTGGGCAACTGGCGGCCCGGGGGCCACATGCGGCCCCCATCAACCCTCAACGTGGTCCTCAGGTCAATTTTTACATATCAAAAAATTGGAAACATGAAGAAAACATGACAAAATCTGCAATGAAATCATGAAAACCTAGAAATATGTCCATAATAATATTTGATCACTGGTACATGTTGAGTTAAATTTGAGACATAATTGACTGTAATCGTTTTTTATATGCTACAATTTGGCCCCCTGGCAGTGAGAATTAAATGAATGTGGCCCCTTGCTGTGAACGAAGTTGCCCATCCCTGATCTAGGCAGACAGAAAACGTGTCATGCAAAACAGTGGATATTAGTTAATTTATATTTAAAGGAATTTAAAAAGAAACACACATTAGCAATTCAGCATTAGAAAGTTACAGGAGTTTTGTAAATTAAAGGTATGAGAGAAGAAGAAAACCAAACCAAACCCACAGAATCGATAAGGAGGTGTTCCGTTTTGTTTTTTGGATGTCTTGACCTTTTTGCAATATTCACACACTAAATGTATCTCATGCTTGTTTACCTCCAGGCCCACATGGAAGTATTTCTTTTTCCAGAGAAGAGGTATTTATTTGAAACCCTCAGCTTCACAAAGTCTTCAGTTTCTTTTGAATTCACTAGGAGTAAAAAAAAAAAAAAAAAACAAGTAAAATGACTGAACTGATAAAACAAGAACACTTTAATAAATAACATTTAAAACGGAGTTATAATTTATATTTCATTGCATATATAATAATGAAAGGTGTACTTGAAAATATAGAACAGCTGCGTTTCCATTGGAGACCAGGTAACACATTAACTTATTCACTTGTTTATAATTGAGTGAAGGCGCGCTTGTTCAGTAGCCTACTTTAGCAGTGGAGATCACTTGCTAGGCGTCATAGCCAAACTAGCTTCATTTAAGTGTGTGACGTGTCTTGTTCACTTTACTCACTTTTATACGTGAAGTCGGAGACACTGACTTGATCACAAGTGGTGCTCGTGTAAGCATGATCCTGAAATTCCATTTTCGCAGTTTCCCCCCACCTGTTCTTCGTTTAAGGCTTTTTGTGAAGTGCCCTTCGTAGGACAAGACTGCTTAGTGCTTTCCTACTTTAGACGGGTCCTATTTTTCTTCTTCTTCTTCGTCTTCCTCGACTGGAATGGCACAAAACTCGAGGGTGCATTACCGCCACCTACCGGACTGGAGTGCGGAGGAAAAAACACCGGTAGAATAAATAATGAATAAATTAAAAGAGAGAAACGTCTTTTAAATAATTTTAAATTCCCTTTTTTTTATTTTTGAATGTGCCCCCCCCCACACACACACACACACAATACTCGTAAACATCTATTTATCTATTTAGTATGATGTTATGGCACTTTTTGGCATTAATTTTGTTGTTACTAACTCCCTTACATGTTTATGTTTACAACTAACAACTTGTTTACAACTACTAATTTGTCCTTGACTTACACGGTCTGTTGTTTTATTCATTTTGTGTTTATTTTTATTATTTAAAAAAAAGACCATTTGGAGAAATAACTGATCCTGTAATCCATGACAGAACCCCACTTCCTAATTTCCTTAGTTATCAGCATATGAAATTGCAAGACCATGATAAGTGGGCAGCAGTCTTCAGAAACCAACTTGTAGGTGTGGCTGACTGACTTATATAATAAAGGGTAAAAACGAAACGAGTTAAACGAAAGTGCTGCAAACGACAGGATGGCGACAGCTCGTTGTGAGTACAGCCTAAACACATTCAAATTAAGTATTAATATCAGCTATTGCATCTTATTCCAGTGTTTGTTTGTTTGTTTTACAAAAGCTGTAGGCTATGTTACGACTGTTGTCTGTTTATGAAGTCATTCCCCTCTGTCAACATGTATAGCCTATGAAAGACATTTGAGTTTGAATAGATTTTGATATCAGATACTACCACAATAAAATCAGCCTTCTCAGATTTGACTTTTTAGGAGAAGTAAATGACTTAAGTAGGCAGATTTAAGGTTTTAAAAGTGGAGAGACCAGTTCATGTTGTCGTCATTTTGCCATTCTATAGTTTCAGTTTCATTTCTATGAAATCTTTACAGCTGAGGGCCTACTTTGAGCTCGGATACTGCCCAAACCTGTAGCCTACAGTTACCACTGTACACTAGAGTCTCTTGTTTTTACGGTGTTAAATTAATTAATTAATTAGGTATGCAAATTATCCTGTTCATTTTTATAAAATATGTCTAATGTGCAGCACATGGTCCAAAGCAACATATTGCTTGCTATTGAATTATCCAGCAGGGGGCAGTAGAGAGACACTAGATTATGTTTTATTTGGATTGTTGACCTACATAACAATCACAGATGTGTCATAAAATATTATTTGTTTTTGTTTTATTAAGCGAATTTCTCCTCAGACATTACAGCAACACACCTGAAAGTAGTTCAACCTCACATGCAGCAGTTAACCAGCAACATTAATATTCATAGTTCAATCATAAAAAAAATCTCAGTTTAATGATGTTAAAACATGATCTATTCAATAATAACATTCCTCCAGTGTGATGTCATAACACGTAGTTAGAGACACAGTCGTAGATTGACTGTAAAAATAAATAAATAACTGCCCTTGTACTTTTGGCTCTATAGTGGATATTCAGATTTTATGCAGGAATTCATTGAATGAAAAATATATCAAGTGTACATTAAGCAGTTAAGCACTTCATCCTGCCTGTTTTCTTGTTCTTGTTTTGTACCTTTATTAGCGTTCTCAGAAGAGGAGAACCCCTCTGACTGTGAGTTTGATGCCAGCGAGGAGTCTGACAGTGACGATAACACAGATGAAGAGTCTGATCCTCAGGTTTGTTTCTTGATTCAGAATTTTAGAGTCTGGATCTATTCTCAGAAGTGAACTCCTTAAACCCAATTGTTGTTGTTGGGTTTTTTTTCATTTTCAACTACTGATAATTTACATTTTGATTTTCAAATCGGTGTCGTGCATAACTATTTATATGATTTATTTCACATTTCAGGTCAATGGGCGCGAGCCCTGCAAGTTCTACAACAAGGGGCGCTGTCGGGATGGTACAAATTGCCAATACTTGCACATGTGCAAATACGCCCTGAAAGGAAACTGTCACTACGGCTCCAGGTGTAAACTGAACCACCCCAGAGAGAGGAGGGCGTCCTCTGGAGCGAGACACCGCTCAACATCTACAGGTGAGGACTAGAGAGGTTCAGTCTAACTCTTACAGTGTCCACGCTGTTCTTTATCGGTGGAGTTGTTTAGAGTGAGACAGAAACATTTTTTTTTTTTAAATCAAAAAGGGGCTAAATGGTTCATTTATCTTCATTCATTTGTGCAGAACTGTTTGTGTTGTTTAGTGTTTAAGCTTTCTTGATGCAAACTTCAAACCTGTTGTTGTTGTTGTTTTTAACCAGAGCCTAAGCTTACTGACGGCCGGTTCTACCAGTGGCAGCTGAATGCTGGAAATAACTGGTTGGACATTGAAAATGATCACATTATCGAGGCGCAGTACTCTCTACCCCACACCAAAAGCATTAAACTCTACAACACACAATACGGGTAAAATATATATATTTTTTAAATGGTGCTTAAATGTTTTCTGAGCGATGACAGATATGAATGGTTGATAACTTATCTTTCATGCTTTTCTCTATAGGGCAGTGAGTATAGACTTTAAAAGACTGAAGGTGTATGGAAAGAATCTGAGAGTGAGACGTCTGGATGATGGAAACACCGAGTGGATCTGGTTCTGCACCTTGCGTCGTAAGTGGAAGAAGTATGGAGACAAGGTACACAGACTTAGATATTTACCTGTTTGTAAAAAATATTCTCAAGTCTCATCTTTTAAATATATTCAGTGTCACATCTAAAATGTAAAATGTGTTTTCAGGATTCAAAGGGAAACCCCAGTCCTGTGAAGAGCTCCGACGTCGAGAATAAGTTCCAGAGTAACCCAACCGGCTCTTACACATTCAACATTGGTGCTGAGACTTTTGAGATCAAATTTAAAGGTGAAGTACACTCTCGAAAAAACATCTCCAGGCTGCCAAATCCCACCTGTTCAACATTGTAAGTGATACTTTCTTTTTGTTGTTTTGCTAGACATGCGACAGGTGGGTCAAAATGGAAAGAGAAAAGTGACTCGCCGACCGCTGTACCGACAAAAGCAAGTTGCAGCAGCAGCAGCAGCAAGGTGAGTTTAGATTTTGTTTTCTGCTTGGGCTTGAAAAGTAAAAATCCCACACACTACTCTTTCTAAGTATCATCAGTTTATTAGAAAAATCACAACGTTTCAATCCCTCTGAACCCTGGTCAGGTGGGTATTCTGCTTGGGCAAAATTAACAAAATTCTGTTCATTTTTCTTAAATCACAGATATGAATAAAGAAATGGGTTGATAAGCTGTATTCTGATTGGTGTTTCAGAAAAAACAGGAAGATATTCCTGTGAAGTAGATGAATATTTTCAAAGGATTAAATTCAGCAAACTATTTTCTTACTGAGTCTTACATGAGGGTCGATACCACCTTGACTTTATATGGTGCTACAAACATATTTCATTTCTTCAATCTGTACAATGAAAAGAAAAAAAAATACATTAACCACTTCATAGGAATAAATGTACCGGGCTACACGCCCAAGCTAACTACAAGCAGAAAAAGGAGAAAACAGCCCGAGGGTCCAACGGACCAACCGGGCCGGACAACACATCAATGAGCAGCCCTGAAAAGACAAAGGACCAAAGGATCCTGAGAGAATGCAGCTGTGGGTGGTCCAAAGTAACAACTTACCTGGGACTGCGTGTCCACCAGGGGAAGGCAAAGTGTGTCGGCAACGATCAGCAGTAAGTTTAGATCTTGATTTCTGCGGGGGAAAAATAAACAGTCTGATTTAACTTTCATCATAGATATTGTAAAAAAAAAGAACAAGTTTGATAGGCTGCATTCCAGTCGGTGTCTCAGAGAAAAAGGAGACGTTCCCTGCAAGGTAGATGAACAATTGACCTCAAGCTTACGCTGCAGCAGGTCGGACAACGAGGCATCACAGCCAGGCTGAGCGTCAAGGTAGTATGATCCCAACATGGCGGCTGACGTGGGAGAGAAAGACCTTCCTTCCTTCTTTAGCAGATCTCTTAGAAGCATCAGAACAGCCCACAGCACGAGATCCAAAACACATCTGCAAAGGAGCTTCTGAACTTGGGAGGCTGTAACCAACATCACATGGGTCCATATATGGAGGATGGCTGAAAGGAGGAGAGCCCTCAAAGATCTTGCAGAGGAGGCAGAGCAAGGGAGCTCCAAAGAAAGGAAGGAAGGAAGGAAGGACGAGATGTGGGGAACGGGATAACTTATGCTGGTCATGCTGCAGGGACCTCCAGATGTTCCAGGATTAAAGGAGGGGAAACATCAGAGTGGCTCCCAGCTCAGTAGCCTGCAGCCTGCAGGAATACCCAGCCTCTTGTTTGCCCTGATCTTAACCTGAGCTCCAATTGATTTTTGTTTTCTGTGATGATTCATCTCAACCTAACCACACCATTTCCCCAGCTATGTGTTTCCAAGAACAATAACTTAGCATGAGTACTAAAGCTCTTACCACAGAGGGCAAAGTCACATTTGATAACAGATTGTACTGAGAGAACACTTTGTGGTGACCATTTTAAAACAAACCCTATATTTCCCAAAGCAGTCACCACTGAGATGTGAGTTGTGGAACTATTTCCGGACGCGTGCAACCTGGCTCTTATCCAATAGAGTCTTCAATCTGTTTATTAAAGTTCATGATCGGGGTTTACTAATGCACATGAATGTCTCACTCTGTCCAATACATCATGAAGCATAAACTGTTACAACCAAGTCAACCCGACACGGTCCAAAAACGATATGCTTCCAAACACACACCTGAATCCAATTCCCTGGAGCCTTGGCTTTATGCACAGCATAGCTCAAGACTCCACCTAGTGTTCAGTGTCGGACTTATACTCAAATACAAATTCAGTGTTCTGTTAAGTTTCTTGCAAGGATCAAATAAAACAAGCATGTTGGCTCCTACACACTTCATCAAAGGACTTGTGTAGAGCTCGTTCAACCCCTACTTGTACGGATTAAATAAACAACATGTATGTGCTTTGTAAGGTGACCTTGAGTGTTTTGAAAGGTGCCTTTTCATAAAACGTCTTATAATTATTAATAAATGAGCTTAGTATAGATATTGTGACCTTGTTTAAATGTATAAATGTTCCTTTAAAAGTTGTATTCTTACATGAATCTGGTCTTGTTTTCACAGAGTTTCTACACTCGCCTCAGTTCTCCAGAACATTCCTCTGAGCAATCCACAATGGCAGTTTGAGGGAAAAAATGGAGCATGGTACATTTTCAAACACAGGGTAAGTGGAGGTAATATTTGCTTTTCTTTGAATGTTAGTGTAAAGGAGAAACGGTGACGATTTAGATTTTCCTTATGTCAGCAGAGGGGCACTTCAACTGAGTGCTCAGTATCCAGCGATGACATTGAGAGGAAGTACCAGCAGGACACCACCGGCACCATGCGCTTCAATGTGAACACTCAGTCCTACGAGCTGAACTTCCAAGGTCGAGTCATGTTTTAAATACTGAGTCACTCCATATGTCACTGGAGCAATTTGTCCTGAAAACAGTTTCTTGAAAGGGACTAGTTCTGTTGTAGGCCTATATTTAGGAAAAATAGATACTGCAAATGTGTAGTTTTGAGTTTAGCAAATACTGATACCTAAAGGATTTTCTGTTGAGTGAGGAGGTTGGTTTGAATCTTTAATTAAAAAGCTGTTTTTTTTAGTTTGCTGTGTTTATGGCACGCTAAGCTTACTAGCTCCTGGCTTTAAAATGAGTGTAAAGGTAATACATTTGTTGTGATTTTTGAAAATGAATTCCCTTTTTTCCTTATATGCTGAACTATTTCTTAATAAATTGATTAATGGGAGGTGCACCACTTAAGCAATGTCTTGACTTTAACCTATTGTGCAATATTATATAGAATTTCCCATGAAACAGACCCTGTACAATAAAGTTACATTATATAGAAGAATCAAAGCTGTATTATATTTGTACTTTCTGAAACAATTTATTCATTTATATTTTTGTTTATTTCTTTTTTTTCTCCCCCTCAGCAATGACCCAAACCAACCTCCAGAACAGAAGTTCACGCACCATCAGACGTGTGCTTGTATGAGCATGAAGGAAGATTTTGTGGACCTCAGGGAGAAAGTCTACATCCGTTAAAAAAAAAAAAAAAATCTATCTTTGTTGTTTGGGACGTATTGTTTTTATTGTTTACGTGTTACATGTTAACCTCTTTAAACAGAGTATAATACTCTCTTTACATAAGGAAGTAGTTTAGCATGAGGATGACGGATACTGAAGCCTTTATTTTTATTACTTTTATTCAGCTGCCAATTGTCTGTTTAGCCAAAAGGGCTGTGAAGTGTACACACTACAACTCAAAGCTGCCTTACAAACGGTGACTCAGGTACTGTGCCAAACTGTTCTTCCCGCTCATTGCCTTACCAAAGAGATCGGTTACATTTATTGATGTGATGAAACAAAAGAACAAGCACACCTGAAAACATTGGACGAAAAATCTGATGTTTCATCTATGCAGTATGATATGTATCAACCATAAGTATCAACACACTCTTCTGCAGAACAAATGAAGTTGCCACCAGATTGAATGCAAATGTTTGCGCCTTTCTGAACAGCATTATACTGCCTCTGAACACTTTCAATCTTTATGTCAGTGGGTTAAACGATTCTCCAGAAAAGGGTTTTATTGTTGACTTTGATAACAGGTCTGCCATCCTTCTTTAGTGTCCATTATTGTTTCCTAGGTCTTAAGATTTACTTAACTTTACTTAACAAACCAAAGAGCTCTGTATTGCGCCGAAACTTGAAATAAAATGAAATATTAAAACATTGGAAATGTTTTTTTGTTGCATGTGAGCTTGGTTATTTGAAGAAGTCGAAGGATTTATTCATTGCCATTTGAGTATTTTTGGAAAATTAACTTTGGAATGAAAACTGGAAAAAAGGAAAACATTTTTCATTGCTGGACAGATATATTTATTATAAAAGAGAAAGTAAAATGTGCTGTCAATCAGAGTCGGAATTAAATTTATTAGCCAGGTATGCTTACACACACAAGGAATTTAACTTCGGCTAACAAGTACAACATTAAATATCAACAATAAACATAATAAGAAAAGATTAATATTTACATGACTAAACATGAAACAGTGCAGTGGTGAATTGTGCAAAAGATTCTGAAGTAACATGATTATAATTAAAATGCATTTATGTGACAGATGGGTCAATTAAGATGTCAATTACAGTATTTACATAAATAAGTGTGTGTAGATTGAAACATTAAATTAAATAATATATATATACATATATGTATATTCAAATAAAATGACACTATTTAATCGACATTGACATTCTTTACCCATTACTATTCCTCAAGGTATGGCAAGCCCTTCTAACATTTAAGTATTAGCGGTAATAGCAATTGTAGACATCAATAATTGCTTTTTGACATGTTAGAATTCCAAGCCAACATATCCACAATGTAATTAAAGATATCTACAATTCATTTTTCACTAGTGGAAATGGTCGTTGTAGATATCTGTAACTTAATTACAACTAGTCAACTTGTGCCACTGACTTCTATTCAAATTGAATTACAGATATCTGTAATTCAATTTTTACATGTTGTAATTCAAAGTCGTCATATCCATAATGACATTTTGACATGTCACAATTCCAATTCATGATATCTACAACTCAATTCTCACTTGTAAAAATGTTAATTCTTGATATCAACAATTGTATTCTTACTAGTGACAAAGTTCATTTATGATATTTACAATTGTTCTAACATTACAGATATCATAAATTAATTCTAGATATCTAAAATGCAATTCTTACTAGTCGAAATTACATTATTGATATCTTGACCTGGAATTATTACATGTAAGAATGTAATTACAGATATCTGGAATTGCATTTCAGATATCTGGAATTGCATTTTAGATATCTGAAATGCAATTCCAGATATCTGAAATTACATTCTTACGTGTAACAATTATATTAGAGATATCTACAAACTTGTCAAAATGTAATTGTTGATATAAAAAATTGAATTTCCACATGTAAAAATGTTATTGTAGATATCTTCAATTATGTACAGACATATCCAAAATGAATATGGAAATTTGGACGACATATCCGAAATGAAGTCATTGTCCCGCCCACATATCCAAAATGAGTATGTTAATTTACAGCCTCTGACGCCTTCTCAGGATTGGTTCATTGGGCAACTCCACCACCGTTACGCTCACATACGTAGCGCGCTGAATCTGATGTTGGGAGACGATGATTGAAAATGGAGCGAGACGGAAACACTGAGACCGCAGTTTCTGCATATGACAGAATTTTTAATGTGGCGAATCGAGCCAGACAGGAGCTGTTGCAGAGTAACAATACAGTAACAATGAATATTCATGAACTATTTAAAAGTCGACCAATGGCTGTATGGTACACTACTAATATGACGGCCCGTCACGCCCACATATCCGAAACTGCAATTATTGATATCTGAAATGGGAAATTACATTTCCACTAGTAACAATCCCTTTTCAACATGTGGAAATTCAGTTGTAGATATCTGTAATAATTATTCTTACTAGTGAAAAAGTAATTACTGATATCTGTAATTCAATTAAAGATATTTGCAAATCAGTTTCCCCATGTCGAAATTACATTTGTATGTACAATTACATACAAATATATTTGTAACAGATATCTTGAATTAACATTTCAACATGTCAAAATGTAATTTTGACATGTTGAAATGTAATTTCCACTAGTGAAAACTAAATTGCTACTTGGCAGCCAAACTGTTTAAATGTTAAAAGGGCTTGCCATACACAATGGTAACTTAATGGGAAGTGAGCCCTCTGGCAGAGAAACGAAAGTGAAGGACTGTGTATGACGTGACCTGCAAACCGATACTTCTATTAGCATGTGTCGAGTTGAAGTAAATGAAACTTATTGAAACTTATTGAAATTAGAAGTAGTTTTTCACTCGTTTAAGGTCTTATTTATCTTTTTTATCGTCGTCACCAGCTGCATCGTGTTTTCCCCCACGGCATGGCGAGTATTTTTTCGTCCTATCGCGGATCCACCTCAGACAGTAAGACTCTTTCTACCCTGTTTGTGTAGTTTGTTGACGGCAGTGTGAAGGGCTGAAGGCCGGGTGTGGTGGGTTTGTGGGGTACTCAAGGTCTGCACAGTTAATAATTCATACAGGGATTGAGTTCAAGTCTGCGTGACTGTCGTGTTGTTTTTATTCTGAAATCGTTTCAAGTTTTAAGCAGCTATTTTTAAAAATGCAGGCCTATAAATGAAGCTGACGTGACCTATGTTATGCCACATTCAAATTGTAGACGATACTAAATCAGACTTTAGCTTCCTGTTTGTTCCCTTTGTCAAGTTTTAGCTCCTGAGAAGTTTTTAAATGGTTATCAAACAGACTGAATGTAATAATAGAGACTCTTTACGACCAACAAAAGCAGACAACATTGACTATTTCTATTAGTTATTTGTTTATTGCTTGTAAAAACATGGGTACGTGTCATGTGACCACAGACAAGGAAGTGCATCTGTTTACACCGTGGAGGAAGTACATTTCAAAAGTGCTACATTTGAAATATATTTGTTAACATTTCTGAAGTGTAATTTTTAACTGAGTGAAACTAAATGTAATCAGAAAATTTGGAGAATTTTTGCTTATCTGTACCAATTGTACCAAAAAGTTGGACTACTTCAACTAAGAAATAGAATCATTTACGATTAATGTCAGACAATTAGTATAATCCACTGTTTGGTTTGTCACATATCATGACATTATCCCAGAGCTAAATCTGACCCCTTCACAATTTGTTTTGTCCCAACTAATTTTCCTCAAAATAATATCTACACGGCTTGAAAAATCATTTAAAGACGAGCATAAAACACTCTATTTCTAGAATGATTAAATCATTTTTGCTTCAACCAAAGTGTGTATTTTTCTGTCAATGGACATGCAAGTTTACTGACTCCTCACATTTGTTTATATATATTTTTTTGAATGTTTGGTTTACGACAGTGTTGTCATGCCAATTCATGAAAAAGTAAAATATTATACCCTTAAATGTTGATAAGTAGAAGCTAAAAATGCTATAAAAAGAAGATAATCTGGTACAATTGGTATTTAAATCCATTTAAACTCGGTTCAATCCCAAATTTGCTCAGCCTGGATTTATTGTTATTAAACATATATTCATATATTTTTGTATTTTACAGCCAACAAGAAACAATTTGAGTGGCAGCTGTTAGTTGGACAGCAGTGGCTGCAAATTGATAACGACCATGTGATCGAGACGCACTACTGCCACCCTGGAGCTAAAGGAATCACCATCAACACCACCCAAGGGTCAGCGATGGGATTTTTCTTCTCTTCATCTTTCAGCAGTTTTATTTTCCTTCCGATCGTCCTCATTTAGATTATTATGGGAAAGCAGCCGACATTTGGATGACTCAGTTTGTACGTGTCTCCACAGGAAGGTGTTCATAGACTTTGATAAGTTCCAGACTACGAATGCCGCTCTGCAGGTGCAGAGGCTGAGCTTCTTATCCCAGGGTGAGGCCGAGGACGTCGGCTGGTACTTTAGAGATGACCAGCTGTGGCGTGAATATGGATCACAGGTGAGGGAAAATCTCACGTGTCAACCGTGTTTAACTTGAATGGTTTCAGCAGTCTAAAGGGTTTTTTGTTTTTTTTTCCTCCTCTTCCTCAGAGCTCCAGCAGGATCGCCTCCTCCATCAGCAGCAGAGACATCGAGCACCAGTTCACTCTGAACCGCCAGGGAACGTTCAGCTTCACCGTGGGATCAACGAGCTACACACTCGACTTCACCAGTAGGGAATCCTTCTATCATTCTGTTGTGTGAGCTTGTAAATTACAATAAATATCTTAATGGAGCTTAACTGAACTTACTGTATTTTCTCGACAGCCATGAAACAAACAAACTGCACAACAGGAATGCACAGGAACGTCCGCAGGCGTCCAAAATTCACCTTTAACATAGGAAGGTAAATATCAGTGGAATTTCCTTTCCTGAATTCCTGGGAGTATTCTTGTCCTAAGTATGACGACAAACCCCTTGATAAGCTGGATTCACAGTGATGTTTATCACTTTTATTCAGCATTAGCTCTACTCCCGTCTTCCCAACCGCCTCCTCAAAGCCAACTAATGGACGCTACAAGTGGGAGTTTATGGGAGGAGAGGGGGAGTGGGTCGAATACCAAGCACATGTAAGTACTGCATGAAGCATTTCTGGCAATTTTTGCAGATGCTTCAAATGAAAGCGTAGAAAATGTAATACGTAAAATAGTACTTATTAGCATGCTTACCTATAACTTTATATTTTCCTGTTACATGACAAAGAGCGAGCAATGGCATCCATCCTTTGCGTTCCTCTTTTCAGTGGACTAACTTGAGATTTGTGTCCAGATTTGTGCATTTGACAGCGCTGCGATCGAGGCACAATACCAGCTGAATCCACAGGGCCAGATACAATTCAGGATCAACAGATACTCGTACAAGCTGGACTTGTCAAGTAACACACAGCTTATCGCATGGACAAGACAATGGATCATTTTGCTTTTCGTTGAGGATAGATGTTTAAACTGCCTCTTTGTACACTATTTCATTAAAAGGTATGTGTCAAGTTAATAACGACATCGGGACGAGAAGAGCAGTGAGGAGGACCGCTGATAATGGGAGTCGTCAAAACAGCAGGTCAGGAGAAACATGTCAGCACGAATCGACAAATCAAACTACATAAATTGAACAACCGCATTGAAATGATGTGAAATGGAAGGAATTTGACCCTCGATTAACACTTTAAATTGAATTATTTTGGGGCTCCATGTACAGAGGCTGTGGTCCTCAAAGCGTGCAGCCCAGGTTCAACTCAGGCTTTTACCACATGTCATTCTCAGTCCCCATTTTCCAAACTCTAGCCACTGTCCTGTCTCTACAAACAAGGCATATAAAGCAAATGAATGATGGGTTCTTAAAACATCTTAATGTTAAGAACCCTGAGATTAGCTCTCTTTATTTGTTTGCCAATGGAAATGTTTTAACCCAATCATTTTCTTCTTTGTCTTTCAGTTCAGGCAAACTGCCCCAATGGCAGTTCCTCGACATGGATGGGAGATGGAAAGATTACAGTAAAGTAAGGCACACCCTTTTGTTATAAGTCTAAACATCAATATGTTGAGCAGTAAACACTGTTAACTCTTCAGCCATGCTATGAGGCTGCACCCAGCCACAGTGTTTCTGAGGTCAATGTTAAATTTAGCATGCTGATATGCACACAATGACGATACTAATACGGTATTTTGCCGTGTTTGCCACCTAAGTTGAGCGTATTAACACGCTAACATATGCTACGAAGCACCTAGCAGGAGTACAGCTTGGTGGTGACATCCCTGTGTTTCCAGGGTGATCTGTTTTTTTTATTATTATTAACAGATAGATGATTTAAAATGTATTTTAAATGGTATGTTTAATGAGTGTGGAAGAAGACAGCCAAGCCTGCAAAGCTGATGACATAGGTTTAAGAAGGAAAACATGGTTAGGCTATACTCTATATGGTTGATTCTAATGTATTGACCAAGGGGAAAAAAACATTGAGGGACATGTAACAGTCTTTGAGAGCTCTCCTTAATGTTTTTGTTTAAGCTGGAAAACATAGGACTCTAGTAGCATAAAGTCAGGCAATCTAGATTTTCTACCCCAAAAATAATCTTTTGAAGTCCAAGACAGTCGAGCTACACAGGACTCTGTGGTATAATGTTTGTTGTTGCTCTCTGTGATGTAGAGGAAGAGCAGCATTTCAAGTCAGGATATCGAGCTCGCGTACCACCAAAACCCGACAGGCATCATGACATTTACCACCAATCAATTTAGCTATGAGCTGAACTTCTCAGGTGAGCTGGTCAAAGTCATATCTATTCTAATTCATGTTGAAAGATTTTCCGTTAGTTTGTCTTTTAGCAGTCCAGATTCATTTGAAATCTTTTTTTTTTTGCAGCTATGACTCAGAGAAACCTGTCTACAAACACCACCAGATCAGTACAAAGACTCAATCAGTGACAGTGGACAACCACACATTCAGCAGACTCAGAGCTTTCGGGGGTTAACATGTTGTCCATCCTAACAATAACATCACTGCCTGCTGCAGCTTCTCTCTTAGATGGAAACACATCTGTACGGTTTTCACATGGTGCCTTGCTGATTGCAGTGCATTTCAGCTGTTGCCATAGCACCTACCGGCCACCGTACTGTTATTTATAATATGGGATATTTGAAAAAAGACAAGGGGTTCTTTTTATTTCTTCTATCAACTCGGACTATAGTGCCCTTTTTTCTTTTCTTAAAGCAACTGCCAATTGTTGAATGTTGATGATTTTTCAGACTCTTAATTTTTTCCTTCGCAATGTTTTTCTGGTTAGGCTCCGAGCTCGGGTTGAGTAGTATGAGTTTAAGTAAAGTTGGTTAAGTTTTAAGAGGCACTCAAGGAAATAGCAAATCAAATGTGTTTACATGTCTTCGGTAATGTTTATGATATCACTGTTTAATGTTAATTTATTTTTTAAGTTGTGTAAACTACCAGAATTAACTATTCAAAATCAGATACATTGCCTCGAGTGATGTCACCTGAGTCTGTTGGTAAGGGCAAAGACTACACGTTTGAAAAAAAAAAAGAAGCTTGCACATCTGTGCTTGGAGCTAATAGTTTGACGCTATCAGTCGCTGCTAGCAAAAACATAATAATGTTAAACTTGCCTCAAACTGTCAGCAGTCAAGTTGCATGGTGGGTGATGTAGGACCAAATGAACGACAAAGAAAATTAGGTTACCTTTCTTTGAACTGCAATAATTTAGATATTTGTTCACAACTGTGGATCATGAATCTTACTGTTAGATTTGTGCAATAAATACATATAAAAGAAATGCCTCAACGGAGGGGGAATCCTAAAACTTTACTCAGGGTTCATATATTTTGTTTATATATCAGTGCAATAATGGATGTTTAAATGATCACCTTAAGACAAGATACCTCTAACCTTCAACAAAAAATGTAAGTTTACTTTGATTTACCATACAATGCCACATACTGCCATGTATCCAAGCACTGATTAAACATTAAAGTGACTTGAAGAACTTTCCTTGTGTTGATTTTGGCGCCCCCCTGTGGACAAAGCAGTGTGTCTTGTCTTTCTGTTTAACTAGAGAAAAGAAAAATAACATTCTGTACTCACTGCTTATTTGAACATCAGCATCTGTTTCTGAAGAGTACATCCCATCTCCTCTTTTCACCCGACCAGGCTGCAGCAGTTTCAGACATAAGATGAACTAAATAGAAACGGTGAGGCCTCTTCGCTGTGTCTTGATGGATTTTGTAGGTGTTCTCTGATGTTGTGTCCTAAAAGTCATCACACAAAAAAAAAAAAAACACCCTGACGGTATTCGATTGTGTACTTTCTTTTATATGTACAGATTTTCATTGATCCACCTCAGAGACCAGCACCGTCACACATAAAACGAGGGCAACACTACACAGAAGAGACAGCAGTGGTATACAAACAATCTTGTAGAAGAATAAGCTTTTTGTTTTCTGCTTTGGGGTTCTGCCTTGATATGTGAAACACGTTAAACAAATCAGTTTCAATTTGTGATTACACTAAACTTTCCACATAGTGTAAGTCGACCGCATAAATAAATGTTTTTTCTTTTCTTTTTTTTTTACGACAAAATTTGGAAATAAAACCGAACCTGACGAGTCCGTTTGGTCAGCAGGTAACAACGCCATGCGGCAGAAAGAAGCTCACCTTGTTTAGGTGGTACAAAAAGGAAGGTTAACCCGACACATGACAAAAAAACACTTCAGCATGTTAACAACAATCATAGTCAGCAGAAAACGGTGCGACCAAGGTGCATCTAAAAACCCTAAAATGATGTATCTCTCTTCAAAAATGTAAGGTTTAGAATGATAACGCATTGATGTTAAGCTGTTTAGAAAATCTGACGGACCTAAAAGGTAGAACTGAAGGTCAGTGGGGATGAAAGTAAGGACACAACTGACGTGCACCCTTAAAAACCGATAAGGATTATTGCACACGACTCATCTAAGGCCTCTTCACCGTTATCACAAGGACATCAAAAATCTCACGGCCCTCACAGAGTAATCCATTTTTTAAATACTATGTATTTACACTTCATAATAATATGTTTCAGCATGGGTCCTCTGACAGCCGCAACGTGCTGAAATCAAAATATATATAGAGAACATCTTCATTGTACAAATTGATGAACAGACATGGTGCACAGGAGGATCCTCAGAAACAGCCTCACCTCACCAGAGCAAATGTAGCAGAGTGTGTGAAATAAATATTGGGATTGGTCACTTGAATCATTAGGAATCATTATTGGAAAAGATGCTAAACTTAAACTTTAGATCTTTTGTGGTCAATTTCAGTAACATGCAACAAAGTAAGACAGCTGATAGTGATACTATTAATACTTCAGGCAAGGCAGGCAACTGCTTGGGGCCCCTGAGGGCTGACAAACTTTAAACCACAGCAGTAGCTCAAAATGTGCAAATTTTGCAATGCCAGTGGCCAACCTCCCTAATGGGGCCCCATCTGACAGCACTCACTCTCATTGCCCTGCTTAGCATCTCATGTATTACTCCTGTGAAAACCAACGTTCCTCAGTGAAAATCACCGCGGGAAGATGAAGGAAGATGAAGAGGAGATATCTGTCCAGGAATGAAAAAAGAAAAAGAAAGAGCATCGGGACACGGGCAGATATAATGGTGGTTGGAGGGGCCACCCCCAATAAATTATTTCCCAGGGCCCCCACAGACTCTAGAATCACCACTGGATGAGTGTAAGGCACATTTAGCCTAAGCAGTGCAAATGTCTCCTTGTTCATTCTTTTCTTAGCGTTAGCATCGTTAGCAGGGCTCGACTCTGCAGAAGTCATTCATACTGCCTCTTACAGAAGTTGTTTTTTCTTTTTTTGGAACCAACGGATGTGAAATGGTTGCCTACAAACTTGGACCAGACAAAACGAACCCTTCCCTTTTCAAAAGAAACCTGCTTTGATGTTAAATTAAGTAACAAACTCGGCAAGCTTTGAAGCCTTAGAAGCAGATGCAAAAAAAAAAAAAGACGGAGAGCAAAAGAGGGGAAAGACTTTAGCTTCAATCCCGATTTGTGTGTCCTCTAAATAAAGGTTTCTGGGGCTGCAGAGAAACAGTTACCATGGAAACAGGCTGCAGTGGGGCTACTCGGTTATCCCTCTTTGAAGTGCAACCCTGAGCCAGTCAGTTTCTTACATCCACTTTCATGTTCTCTCCACTGAGGAGCCTCATGGATGCAGATCAGTCACTGCAGGCCCGTCAGTGCTACACTCCCACTGGGCTTATATTTCTAGTGCATGAGCTGTTTGTTCTTCAGTCTTATCACTTTAGACACGCTACAAAACCAAAATAAAATCTGGAGAAGCAATGAAAGGTACAAAGCCTGAAATTGAGCAGATGTGAAGCAACTCTTTTTGTATTTTTTCTGCCAATTGTAAAGATGATTCTGATGTTCAAGAAGTGAAATCCACACAAAATCTTCGTCATGATGAGCTGTTTTGGGATTCATCTCAACCTGGGAATTTTGAACGTTCAAGAACGTCAAGTACAAAACAGTAGGAAACCCCCCAGCATGTTAAGAACACTGCATGGAGGAAGAAGCTCCAACCTCGAACATTTTGTCCATCTTGTCAAGTAGAAACAGAATTCAGGAGGACGAGAGTTTTCCAGCTGAACGTGAGCGAGGGTCAGAATGGAAACCAGGTCGGATTAAAAAACACAGAAGGTAACACACCTTGGAAGGATTTTAAATCTTCACATTCAATCAGTGTCTTGTTTTTGTGAGAATTCAAGGCCGTCCAAAGATTTCAAAAGAATATACTCGACCTAGCATCTTTTAGGATTCACATTTAGCCGAATAAGTCTTTCAGATCGTTGTTGACCGACGCACTTTGTTTAATTCCACTTTGGTTCAGGCTAGGGGCAGCAGCAGGTTGAGCAAAGTTCTGTGGGCTGAAAAAAGGGTTTCCCTGCATCCCGAACCCACTGGGCATCCCTCCCATTCCGACTGACGCCCCCTGCATCTGAGTCTGAGCGTTCTGGGCTGAACCAAACTGGTTTAGCCAAGGGGTGTTGGTGCCAGGCGAGGGCTTTGGCCCCATCTGGTTGAGAGTGACTTTGGGCTGGCTGGGTATAAAAAGACTGTCCAGGGCTGACATGTCCGGGGCTTTGTTTGTCTGCCCAATGGGTCCTTGATTCTGGGCGAGGGCTCCAAAGTTTGGGGTGCTGGTGGTGGTGGCCATGCCGCCGTAGAGGCCTGGGCCGGCGGGCCGCATGCCCATCCCCATGCCTCCTGTCTGGAAGCCCATGGTGGGGTTGAAGCCATTGGAGACTGGAGCACCCATGGAGCCCATCATGGGGCTGGGAGAGGGGAAGGCAGCGATGGTGGTCCCTTGAACTGGGGCTGGTCGTGCTGGGTTGGCTAAGGACAGGCTGTTTAGAGACGTCATGCTGTTGAGAAGGCTGCTTGTCAGATCCTTAGTCTGCAAAATGAAACATTCAGGTATGTTATCGGAAAAGGACAGAAACAAGGAAAACAAGGAGAGTGAAGAATTGAATTCCCAACCCCTCTGAAAAAGATTCAGACACAAACAGAGCGCCCTCATAACCATACTAAGTCACTCTCACCTGCCAGTGTGTGTACTGTGGGAGGGGAGTTGTTGCTGACTGAGATTAATCAAAGCAGCATGCAGATAAATTCATCTCAGTGTCCTGTTCATACAGCTTTATAGCCCATATTTAAATTCCAGACCAAAAGGAAGATATACAAAACTATGGCCTAAATTTACCTTAGTGTCCTGGCTGTGTTACTAACAGCAGTTTGGAAGCAGCACACAGAATAAACACCAAAGCTAAAGTGATGGCTCATCACTGTGTTTGACAAATTAGCAGCTTGGGCTCTAAGTTAAAGGTAAACAAACTTCCTCTTAAGTACTGAGAAAGAATAAATCATCTCAACAAGCTTGTATACCCAGATGTCTTTAGACCTTACCTGTGAGTTGTTGGTGTTGGCTGCTTTGATGGTCTGTGGTGCTAAAGGCTGCTGGTTCCTCAGTTTGACTGCCTGCTCCTGCTCCTTTGCCAGCCGCTGTTTCTCCTCCAGAGTCAGAGACATCTAGAAGGAGGAGAAGATACCGTGAGCAAAATCAGACTGCGTTCTAAATGGACAAAGGTAGAAGGATTGCGTAAAAGTGGCGGGACACTGTTTCCATACTCTATTAGGCTGCGGGGCTGACGCTGCGGCTCCATTCTCTTTCCCATTAACCCCCGTGCTGCCGAAGATATCGTCAATCTGAAAGCAGGAGACGACTTAATGTGATGACAGCAGCAAGAAGATTCCAGGCAAAACAAAACATGTACACCTATGTTAGCTGGTGTTTGTGTTAGCTTCTCACCTGGTTCCCTGTGCTAGGCGGGCTCTTTGTCTCCTCTGATTGTTGTCCTGGGTTCATACTCCTGTTAAAGGGAGATAAAAAAAAACACAATCAGAACTAATCAGAATCAGACCAGGCTTTGTATACCCTTATCTTATTTATGCAGTTGGTATCAGATGCTAAATGCTTGCAGCAAAAGGGTGATGACTTTGTGACAGCTACCTCTGCTGCTCCTGCATGACATGCAGCTGCTCCAGCTTGGTTTTGTGCTCAGCCTCCATGCGACTCAGCATCTCCCGTATGACCACCATGAAGGAGTTAAACTGAGACACGGAATAAATAAGATTTAATGAAAGAGTTAAATAAAAGACAGAAGATTTGACATTAGATAGAAGTAAGCAGAGCGTACAGTACCTGGTTTAGGTTGAGGTTGTTGTCTATACTAAGAGAGACCAGGTGGGGCAGGCTCTTGCTGGCGAGGTGCTCTTTGGGAATGCCTAACTTCTTGTGGCTGAAGGTGCACTTGTAGATTCCTTCAAAGAGAAGGGGCAAAGACGTCTCATTAAGTCATCTGAGAGGTTGCTTAATTGTTCACACTCACATACACACACACTGGAAAGAAGAGGGGAGTTTTCCAGCATGGTC